TCGTTTAACCATGAGTTCCCATTATTGGGTGCCTGGTGACAAGACGTGGTATTTCAGCCAATAAAGCTTTATTAAAAAAAATAAAAATGATACTATCAATAAATAAAGAACAACCAATCATATTTTTTATTTAATTGAAATAACATTTTTATAATTTATAATTAATATTTTTTTGAGATAAATTATTTTATTTATTTATTTTTGTCTATCTTTACCTATTATTTTTCAATAGATTAGATTAGAATCTTAACTATCTTTATTATTTTTCTCTACTATTGAGATCTCTATCTAATAGTATTGAAAAATATAGTAAAATATAAATAGAATAATCTATTCTTATTTTTTTATTTAAAAATACTTGTACAATGTACAAAATATTTACGAAAAAATTTAGGTAGATATGAAAGACAAGGATGGCATCTAAAAAATATAGATTGAATCTTTTTATATAAAAGTGATTACGTGATCATGTTACTTAATCGTAATCAATCATTAATGATAAGGTAAAAAATATATATATAATTTTTAAATAAATAATTATAATCAAATAAAATGATTATATAACTTTTTTTTTACGTGAAATCATCCAAATCCAAAAATACACATGCACTTCACTTGAGAATTGAGACTCATATTCACAAGGCCGAATTTCCACGTGCCATGGCCCGTGATCTGATCTCACGCGAATGCATTGGTGTAACTCTGTGTAAGTGGGTCAGGAGGGTGGGTGTTACGCGCTAAAAGAAAGGGGTAGGATAAAGATAGGAAACAGTACTAAATAGTGAATATGAAAGAGGGAGTTCAAATGATTGTGATGAGGAAGATGTCGGCGCGTGAAGGGACAGCATGACACCCACAAATTTGTCCGGGAAGGGGGCCCCACGTGAGAGGTCGAAAGGATGGTTGTAGCACGTGTCCTGCAAGCAGGCATGTTGGTCCACGTGAGTTGGGGGGGGCAGGTTTGTGTTCTACACTTCCTTCATTTCCGCATCCCTCCCCCCCACGTGAACTCCACTCATGCTTGTCTCCTCTCTCTTTCACTACTCTTCAATTTTCTTTGGCTACGCTCTTAAACGGCTCGCTCGATCGCTCGCTTTGGATAAGCCAAAATGTCCAGTTAGCAATAGCTGATAGATCCCTAAGCAGTTTGTTTTTATAGAAAAATTTAATATAAAATTATTTTTCAACACACACACTTTGTCTTCGTGTATCGAAGGAAATTGGAGAGTGGACTGGAGACCCGAGGAAAACCATGGAGGGAGTGCCACGAGCTTGATATGTTAGCCATTTGAGAATTTCTATGTTGAATCGTATCCTAGTTTGATTGGGGTGTGTGTGTTTATTTACGTAACCGAGACAACAACTATTAAACAGTAGTTCACTCACTAAGTCTCAATCTTGTCACCGTGACTGCAACGCGCGGTAGATAAGAGATTTTTCATGAACGATGATAAACCACGCGCGAGTTTGCAGCGGAGATGGGAAAGAAACTTAATAATAATGTTGTGGAGAGGGGAAAAAAAGGTCGAGAAAACGACGTTGTTGCCTGGGGAAGGCCCTCGTTGTAACCGCACGATATGAGTGTCGCACATGATTAAGGGGGCGTTTGGTACACGAGGAATTTTTATTTGTCCGAGAATCTCGATTTTCAAAAATATGATTTTTGCATTCAGTTTACGATAATATCTGAAAATTTAAAATTTAAAAAAATTCAGTTTTCCGAAAATCTCTCAAAATCCCGCATACCAAACGTCTCCTAAAGGATAATTGGGAGCTAGTGAGGGACAAACAAATAATGAAAAGGTTATCTGTTTGGTTCCAATCATGTCCATTCGCTGAGCTGATTTCGGCAACAGGCTACACATGGTAAAACGTAAAACAAGGGAATGAGTATGCAGTACATCAAGATTGATGATTTGATTCGCATTAGACTAATTAAGTTAGGTATATTTATTAAATAAGTTAGATTATTTTTTAAAAAGTTTAATAATTAAAAATAAGTAGGATTATATTTATAAATTTTATATTTATAGACTCTTACAAACCATATTATGTATTACTGTAGTTTATAAACAAAAAAATTATAAATACAACATATCCCATTAAAAATACAAGGTTTTAAATTATATGTTTTTAAATTTTTAACCGATTTCTCATTTAAATAAATATAAATAATATTATACTGTTATTATTTTATTAAAGTTTAATTATAATACTTTAAAATTATGAAAAAAATATTTATCCTTTTATAAAACGGTTATTTTAGTTAAAATTATTATGGCTTACTTAATTTTAAATTAAAAAGAATTCATCACTAGATCCCACCTTGATTTCTATTGCGTAACCATTACTTTAATCATAAACACAATAATTTTAATTAAAATGACACAATTTTATGTATTTAAAAAGAACAAATATTTTTTCCTAAAATTATATATGTTAACTTATTTAAAAGAAGGTTTTTTAGTTTATTTAAATGTTTGTTACAAAATAAATCTTTAAATAATTTCTCATGACAGATTAAATTTTTAAAGAGAGTAAAATAAGCTTTAGGAATTATGATGGAGTTTATACGAAATAAATATGTCAAATTTTGTTATAAAAAAAAAAATGTCAAATTTAAATTACATTTAAAAAATAAGTCAAGTATCGCGTAACTAGCGCGTTTCCATTTCTAATGATGATGGTGTCCCTACCCTTGACATTTGACCTCAGCCGTTGATGTAGGGGGCTGCTTCTTCTTTAGGTGGAGTCTTCAGGTTGGGGTTGCCCCACTCGGTTAAATGCTCAATATTTTTTCCGATTTGCCATCAGCCACAACAACGATAGAATAAACCAAGTCGGTTTAACTAGAGCGTGGTGGATTGACTCGTTAAGGAATTTTATGGCAACATCTTTACCTACTATTTTTCGCCCAAACAATTTCGAATTCATCTCGATTGTCATTGTAAAAAGTTCGACACTTTTGTTTATATTCGAAAGAGTAAATACAAATACGATAGTCTTTCACTATTTATAATGTTAGATGTAATTTAAATTTGCATATTTTTATATAAAAATGTGAAATCATGATTGATGACTTGGGAGACTTTATCTTCACTTTACTATTATTTCTAAGTTTATAATTTTAGACGGGTTTTTAAGAGTATGTTTGAATCATTTTTTTTAAGCTAGAAGTTACTTACAAGTTAAAACTTAAAAAAAGTTAAAAGTTATTTGTGATTAAATAAAATTTTTAGCTTAAAAGCACATATTTCAATAAAATTATCTCTCTCTATAGCTCTTCATTAAAAAAGAAAAACACACAATTCAATAATAGTTGATAAAAGCTTAAAAAAAAGCTCCTCATAAGAGCTTTTGGCTTTTAGTGTTTTTTTTCATTATAAAAAAAAGTTTTTCATTAAAAGATTTTTTCTCAAAATCTGTTTGGCATATTCTCTGCTTATAAGTAGCTTCTAGCTTAAAAAAAATAGGATCCAAATAAACACCAAATTTATAATTTATGATAGGTGTATAATTTGATGAATCATTTTATAAAAGTAAAGATTTTTTCTATATAAATTATTTGGGGCTTTAATGTTTTTATAGTAGATATGTTATATACATTCATTTCCAAAACGACGTTGTTTTGAGTTCAAAGTTTAAAAAATTATAATGAAAAAGACTATTATAATCCTAAAATAAATTATAATTACAAAAAGACTTTGATTTTCGTCCCAAAACGACGTATTAATGTAGATAACTTATCTACATTAAATATAGAAAAAATAAATTCATTAATAATAATATAAAACGAACTGTATCAAGCACCATCTATGTTTTAATTCTTAATAGTAGTAATTCTCAATATACTTATATGGAATTTAATCTAGGATTTTTTTTTATCATGTTACATGACAAAAATCATTTTCCTATACACTCGTAATATATGTGGGACTAGGGGTGAAATTGAGCCGGGCCGGCACAGGCCAGATCTGACCTAGTATATTTCGTAAAAAGGCCGTACTTGGACCTTGAAAAAGCTTGTTTAATAAAAAGGCACAAGGCCTGGCCTATACAGTACTATTTATTTTAAATAAAATAAAATAGAATAAGTATGCCTTGAAGAAAAAATAAAAATTATAAATTAATCAATTGCAATATTTAAAACTTAATTATATTCAATTATATTATAATAAAAATCTGACTTTATTTTTTATGTAGAAGGAACCAACATCTCAGCATGTTAGATTGTGTATATGAATATATTAAAAGATTTTTGAGAAATGTTATACTTACTACAAACATCATGATGTGTTTGTTAGATTCATGTAGTTATATTAATTTACATAGTATGAATTTTAATGAAATATATGTTATTTAGTTTAAGTATGTTGCTTTTGAAAGTGACTTAAATGCATATTGTATGAGTTTTTTTGTGATTCATGATTCTGTTTGAACACTGAAATTATGATTTTTGGATTACCAACAGAATTTGAATATTTTGTAAAGTTGATTCATGGTTCTGCTTGGAAGTTGAAAATTAATAGGCTAATGGATTAGACCAGACCATTTGTATTTTTATAAACGAGCAAAGTCAGGCTAACAATTAGACTTGTACTAGGTTTGGGCCAGGCAAATTCAAATTTTTTCGACATATGCTTGGGCTTTTTCTCGGCAAAACTTGGTCCAGCTCAGCCCACTTTCATCCTTATGTGGAACCATTAAATAGTGAAGTGAGAAAAAAATTAAACATGACAAATCATTTTTCCTTTAGCCTATTGTTTTATTTCCTTTATATAGTTTTTGTAATAGAAATATTAATTAAATAAATATTATTTGTGGTGTTGCTCGCGAGGCTTCCCCAACCCAGTGAACATCAGCGGGAAAGTAAAGTTAAAAATAAGTAAAAAGGGCGTTATGAGTTTACCAAATGGTCAAAAAGGAAGGTTAGAAACTTAGAATTGGCCCCGAGGAAATGAAAGCAGAGTTGTATTATTAGTGGGGGCAAAACCCATGATTCAGATAATCGGGGCTTCCTGACATAAAGTCATGATTGAACTCACCACTCTCTCACCCCATTTTCTCTCCTTTCTATATAATACCCTCCGCACGGCCTCTACCCTCCTCCGTAATCATCCCAAATCTCTCTCTCTCTCTCTCTGGAGAAAAGCTCATTCTCTTTCCTTCTTTCACTCTTTCTCTCCTCTCCAAAATTTTGATTCAAAACTCAAGCCTTTGAGTACAACACACAAGGTCCTTGAAAAGCAAAGGCTTTAGTTCGTGTCTTGTCTTAACAAGGGTTCATAGAGATGACGGTTGAAAAGGAAGATTTGGGTTTGAGTCTGAGCTTGAACTTCCCTCAGAATCCCCCAAAGCCTCTGCATCTCAATCTCATGTCGTCCTCCACTTATTCCTCTCCTCAAAAACCCTCTTGGAACCAGCCTTTCACTTCTTCAGGTGTGTGTTATTCGATTCTCCAGATGTTTGTTTCCTTTGTTTTCAGATCTGGTCCAATTTCTCTCTGTTTTCTTTATCTTTTACTTTAAACATATGGTGAAAAAGAAAAAAATAAAAAAGAAAAAACAAGCGCACCTTAGGAGAATAATTCCAACCTTTTTCTCTTTCGGTTCCTCCTTTTAATTTTTGATATCCTTTTACAATTTAACAATCATTTTCACTGCCCTTCTTTTTATTTATGCTCATTCAAAGAAAGTTTCCTAAAATCTCTCTCTTTCGCTCCTTATTTTAATATTAAAACGTGTTGGTTCTATTCTATCTCACTTTTTTTTTTTATTGAAAGAATAATAAAAATTAATGACCAGATTAATTTTTCTCGAGCCATGTAGATATACTAAATGCTGTTTTGATTACATGCATGCAGATCGAGATTCGGAAACATGCAGAGGCGAAGGTCGATCTTTCCTGGGCGGAATCGATGTGAACCGGTTGCCTTCCGGGGTTGATTGTGAAGAGGAGGGTGGTGTTTCATCCCCAAACAGCACCGTTTCGAGCGTGAGCGGTAAGCGTAGCGAGAGAGAGAACAACGGGGAAGAACATGACATAGACAGAGCTTGTTCTAGAGGAATCAGCGATGAAGAAGACGGTGAAACCTCAAGGAAAAAACTTAGACTCTCCAAAGACCAGTCAATTATTCTCGAAGAGAGCTTCAAAGAGCACAACACTCTTAACCCCGTAAGCACAACCCTGCAATTACTCTTTCTCACAAACTTGGATTTTTGTAATTATTATTATTAGTATTATTATTTTGTTAGCTGACTTATATGTTGATTTGTTGTTATTTGCAGAAGCAAAAGATGGCGCTGGCAAAACAACTTGGCCTTCGAGCAAGACAAGTAGAGGTGTGGTTCCAGAACAGACGGGCAAGGTTGGTTTCATTTTCATTTGTTTTTGTGTTTTTTTTTTTTCACGTGATTAAGGATTATAAGAAATTTACGGTTTTGTGAAAATGAAATTTCAGGACGAAGCTCAAGCAAACGGAGGTGGACTGTGAGTTCCTGAAAAGGTGCTGTGAGAATCTGACGGAGGAAAACAGGAGGTTGCAGAAGGAAGTTCATGAGCTTAGAACACTGAAACTTTCCCCGCAATTCTACATGCAGATGACCCCACCCACTACACTCACCATGTGCCCATCTTGTGAGCGTGTCGCTGTTCCACCCTCTGCCGTTGATACTGCCACGCGTCACCATCACATGGCCCCGACTCACCCTCGGCCCTTCCCCGTTGGCCCATGGGCCACCGCTGCTCCCATCCCTCACAGGCCCTTCGATACCCTCCGTCCCAGATCTTGACGTGTACGGTTCAAGAAGGGTACCCAATGAAATGACAAAATTTGAAAGGGAAAAAAAAAAACGGTTGTAATTGCGTACCCATGAATTCTGTGTTCAAAGTGCGGTCTAGACTCTAGGATATGGTGGTTAGAAAAAATGATTTGGTGGGTCTCTGATGTTTTGTACCAATTTGACCCATCGTCTTCCCTTTCTAGTTAGGACTTTTTAGTTTCTAATACTTACTTTATGCCCTACAATTTCTCATGATTAATCAGAGACTTTGTGTAAAGTGGAGTGGTCTAATTAATTAAATATAGCTTTCCTATGTCAGCTGATTTTGTTCGTAAATTTATAAGTCAAATTTAAAATTTTGCTGATTGCTTTGGAATTGTAAATATATCGTCAACGGTGTTTGATTCTGGAGATATTCTTATTGGTTTATCGTTTTGTAATTAGTTCGATTTGAGATGAGTTTTAAAATTAAGATTTTAAATTCTTTCTAAAAATGGTATTAAAAAAAATTGAAGACAATATTTTTATCTTCACTTATTCAATTCTCAAATAGCAACTTATAAGTTTAGTAGCTTGATATTGAAGATGCGGGAATTCGTAGGGACTATTTCCGGGTTTTGGGTGCTAATTTGACAATAGAAAATGGAAGTAAAACATTTTTTAATGGAGGTTGCCCTAAATGACCAAACAGCAGTTTAAGAATTTTAGGTCTTTATGGGCCCTAATTAATGATGCTCGTCAATTGCAGAAGGGGAGAGAATCTTATTTCCATGGATTATGTGAGCACTGGCTTGACCGATTCCTTTAAAGATTTACATGTTTGATTTATTGAATTGCCCTCTTCTTTGTTCCTACCCCCATAGGGCTATTGTCTCTTAAATTGATTGAGCTTTTGTCACGTTAAATTGATTTATGCAATTGAGTGATGAGGTAATTAATCCCTCTTTTCAACCTTTACCTTGCCTCTGTCTTCTTTATTACTCAGCTCGTGAAATCTATGATTTTAATGGCATTTTGGTGAATGCCATTAAGGTAATTACCTCTCTTTATTATCCATGAGGGAATTAACATAAAGTAGATCTTTTCTCCTGACCATTTTAGTAAATTATTATCCTGCCCATTTTAATGGCATTTTTGTAATTTTGATTTTTTTCTAGTGCTCAATTATTTTCATATTTGTAATTTATTTTCAATTTTTTTTTTCGTTTTTCGCTTTTCTATTTTGATAATATGTGATCTATTTAATTAAGTTTGTTTTTTCAATCATATACTCTTTTTTAATTATTTTATAATTATTTTTTTTATAAAATTTTTAGGTAAAGTTAAATACCGATATTCCATTAGAGCCAAAGCGACCCCCAAATTTTTTTGAAAATTTATGGGAGGAAAATATAAATTATCTATCAATAAAATTCTTATATCAATCAGCGAAATTCGAACTCAAATCCTCGTAAAGTATAAGCTTAATCCTTAACTAATTGTGTGTGTCCACCCTAAATGGCTTTACAATAATATCTTGTTTTTCTTTGATAATATCTTTTACTTTTCTATTCGTAACCTTCTTCTTTATTTATTTTTTTGACTTTTTGGTGAATACTTGTAATTTTTTTGGAAATAGAATACTTGTGATTTAAAGCTCAATTATTTGCATTTTGGAGTGCAAACACTCCATTGTAAACGGCTGAAAAGAAGGAATAAAAGCGACGCGTATCTGTTGACGCACCCATTAGTGGCGGTCTCACAGTCTCAGCCTTCAGAATATCTTGATGTCCTTTTTATACGACTATTCACTTAATGCCTTTAGATAGTGTTTCGTTGGCGAGAAATATTTTTTTACTAGGAAAATGTAATTGATAGGAAAATAGTTGGAGAGTGAGTTTGATAGGAAAATGTAAAAAAAGTTGTTTGGTTGAGCCAAATATTACCAAAGAAATTTATTTAAATATGCAAAATCTATGTTCGGGAGAAACTTTGCACCTGTTTTTTCACTTCCCCAGTCATCTCAAAATACCACATCTCAAGTGGTATTCTGTAACAGTGAATTTCATCCAAAAATCAACACAAAAGTCATTTTCCCATCTATCCTATTTGTCTGGTATTTCTTGAAAAAACCTGAACCAAACGTGGTATTTTCCAATATCCACCTACATTTTTCCATCAATCCTAAAATAAACCTTCATGTTATCAAAAAAAAAAAAAAATAAACCTTCAACCAAACACTACCTTATAGCTTTCCAAATTCTATAACGTCATACCTAAAATTCATGATTTTTTTTTTAATATTTCAATTATTTCATCATTTTATGATTAGTCTAATTCGATGCAGGTTTTAAAATTAAAATTTTAAATTTCTCTCAAATATAATACTTAAAAGAATCGAATACATATTCTCATCTTATAATTTCTTAAATCAGAAGAATGCTACCCTACTTCGTATCCTAAAGCAACTTTCACGGTAAAGGTCGATTTTCTTAAAGAAATAATTCTATGTTGCAAGCAACCTAGAGGAGTGGAAATAAGAAAAATAAAATTAAATATTGATAGAAATAAGGTAACGCAACATTATATAATTTTAAATATTTAAAAATTCATATAAAGTAGCAAATATAATAACTTCCAAATTTAAAGTGCAAACATCTTCATCCATAAGCATTGAGAAGTGGTTCATGGTCTTCCATAATAATTGTTGTATTCGGGGAACATTAAATAACTTGTGTTATTGAAAAATAATTACAGAATGTAATGTCTTAAATGAACAATTACTCTTTCACACGAGGTTTATATTTTTATTTTTATTTTTATTTTTAATTGTAGCTCACCAATGTGTTGATTTGTTGTTTGGTTTATTTTCGCTAATGTTTGGGTGGTTTTTTCTCGTGATTAAGGAAGAATTATAAAAATTTTAAGGTTTGTGAAACTGAAATTTCAGGACAAATCTGAAGCGAACGGAGGTGGACTGCGAGTTCCTGAAAAGGTGTTGCGAGAGAAGGCTCAGGCTCACACGGTTTCAAAGCTAACATATTTTATTAATATGCAATACAAAGTAACAATAACACTATTAACACAAGTACGTATTTACTATTAACAACTATAATTTCTAGTGCAAGCTAAGAAATCAATTTACATAAAACAAAAATAGGGGAAAAGAATACAGCCTATAAAATAGATGGCAATAAAAGCACCACAACGAAAATGGTTTAGAAGTTTAATTTTCATAAAATATTGGCAAACTTTTGATAATTCAAGAAGTACTTGTTTCAATCAAACTTATTTAAATTAGGTAAACCACTCTCGTTTTTCTTAAATTTTATCCTTATTAGACTTACTTTCAGTAGAAGAGTTTGTAGATTTTTGAAAGTGCACTATTGCAAATTAAATGAAATTTGTATATGTTTTTAAAATAAAAATTATGTAATTAAATTAAATATGAGATAAAATAATTCATTTCGTATCGCACCGTTAAAAATAACTCAATCTATATATCTATAATTTATAATCTATATATAAATATAATACTAATAAAGTAGAACTTTTCTCCTGACCATTTTGGTGAGTTAATTTCCTGCCCGTTTTAATGGAATTTTTGTAATTGTGATTATTTTCTATTGTTCAATTCTTTCCATCTTTGTAATTTATTTAGAAATATTTTTTTCGTTTTTCACTTTTTTATTTTGATAATGTGTGATCTATTTAATGAAGGTTAAATTTGTTTTTCACACACACACTTCGTTTTTCACTTTTTATTTTGATAATGTATGATCTATTTAATGAAGGTTAAATTTGTTTTTCACACACACACTTCGTTTTTCACTTTTTATTTTGATAATGTATGATCTATTTAATGAAGGTTAAATTTGTTTTTCAAACACACACAAGAACTTATTATACAAACACACATGGAGAAGAACTTACCATGTTGCAGGCTAAGTTTTCTCTCTTTATAAGAAAACAAAGAGAGAAAGTAAAATAAAAGAAGAGAAAATAAAATATGTGGATCCCACTCAAGAAAGTTAAAACTTTTCCTGTAACATAATATATATATATATATATATATATATATATATATATATATAGGTAGGATCTTTTAACACCAGTGTCAAATTTGAAATTTGACACCTCATCTGAGAGCCATTAGATCAAAAAAGATCAATGGTGTCACATGCTTACAATTCAGAATCGTTGATCTTTTTTGATTTAATGACTCTCAGATGAGGTGTCAAATTTCAAATTTGACACTGGTGTCAAAGGATCCTATATATATATATATATACACACACGGGAAACAGGAAAAAGATTCGTTTATAATTTTTTTTTACAAAGTACATCAAGTATGACCGATTAAACATAGTGTAGTTTGTAAACAAAAAAATTTGTAAAGATAATCTTCCCTGTATTTTACAATAATCTTTTACTTTTCTACACGTAACCTTGTTGCTCATTTTTTTTTTTCCGCCTTTTGGTAAATCCTTGTAATTTAAAGCTCAAGTTTTTGCATTTTGGGGAGCAAACACTCCCTTGTATAGCTACATGTTGACGCACAAATTAGTAGCGGTCTCAGGGTCTCAGCCTACCGAATATCTGGATGTCCTTTTTATCGGAGAAAATGTCCGTTTTATTCACTTAAGCTAGAAGCTACTTATAAGTTAAAGCTAAAAAAAAGAGCTTAAAAAAATAAGCTAAAAGCTGTTTGAAAATTACATAAAAATTTTAGCTTAAAAATTACTTAAAAGCACATATTTCAAAAAAATTATCTTTCTCTCTATCTTTATCACTCTTCATTTAAAAAAAAGCACACAATTCAAGAAAAACAGTTAAGAGCTTAAAAAAAAGCTCCTTTTTAGTTTTCAGCTTTTTTCTTCATTATAAAAAAAGAGCTTTTCGTTATAAGAACTTTTTCCAAAATCTGTTTGGCCTAGCTTATGCTTATAAGTAGCTTCTAGCTTAAAAATAAGAGGATCCAAACAGGCACTTAGGTTACGTTTGGATTGACTTTTGAATAAAGTCCTTTTTATCACTCCCTTATTTTAAAAGTACTTTATATTAAAGTTACAGCTATTTAAATTTTAAAAAAAATATTTGATTTTTGAAAAAAATATTTGGCTTTTGACTTCTGCTTTTTTTAAAAGCTAAAATTTTTAGCTTCAGAAAAAAGTAAGTTTTTAGCTTTTTTTATGACTTCTGCTTTTTTTAAAAGCAGACATCCAAACAGACTTTTTTCGAGAAGGACTTTTTTTCCTTAAAAAAGCAGCTTTTGAAGAAAAAAAAGTCCATCCAAACGGGCCCTTAATGTCTTCATAGCTCCCCAATTTTATAATGTTGATACCCAAAATTCATGAAAAAGGGTACATTAAAGAACATTTTGTGTTATTGAAAAGGAATTACAGAATGCAATGTCTTAAATGGATACAAGAGGCATTTATATAATGAATAGACACCGTTTCATAAAATGTTACTTACACTTTAACATCAAGGGTCACATATTTTGCCAAAAATCACATTTCTAATTTTTTTGGTTGATTTGGCTTTTAGTCCATATATAGTTAAGATTACTTGGGCTGACCTCAGGGCCCAAATAAACTAAGAAAGGTATTGTGTTTTATTTTATTTTTGTTCCAGGCGGTTGCATAATAAAAATTATTCCATAAAAAAGCACATGAGACCAGGATGATGCCAACAATTACAAGCTCAACAGCAAAGGCTTTCTGTTTATGCACAGAACAGAACAGAACAATTCAACATCGAATAACCACACTCCATCACAAGAAAATATGCGTCATGATCGGAGTCATTTTCTATACTGCTCCTAAAACTGTCTCATTAAAATAAGGACTCAAGTACTTCAACGTTTATTCATTTTCAATAAGAGTTTAAAATCCTGTGACAATGAGCTTCTTCCAAGTGTTCGAATACATGGCTTGCTCATATTTTCCCTTTGAAACAAAATATCAGAACTTGAAAGCATAACCAAGAAAATGATATCCTAGCAAAATAAACTGTTTAAATGCAGCTAATATCAGTGAGTCTGTCTACTACACCATAATTAATTATAAGTTACCGACTGGGAACATAGACACGAATCCAATGTTTTAAAACCATGGAAAAAAAAAAGATCCACTTTAACTAATTTACATGCCATTTAGTGACGAAATACTACCTAGGGATCTTCAAAATTACCTTGAAGAATTTCTAGTAGCAATCCGTGCACTCCTCTTGATAGACTCAATCCTTTGAAGCCTGATTTGCTCTCTAAATTTGGCTATGAATTCATCAGCCTTCTTATCTACATCTGGTCCTTCATCACCGTTAACATTGCTGCTGGAAGGTCTATTGGTTATTGAACTTTCTCCAGTGTCTTTCTGAATGAGTGTTCCTCCAACCTCTTCATCCTCAGTTTCTGTGTCTTCATCTGATTCCACAATCAACTTGTCAATAAAGCTTTCTTTCTCTTCCTCTAAAGCTGGCTCTGACACAAGAGGGACACTAAATGACATATGATCATATCCCAAAGCCTTTCTTGTTGGTTCTTCCACATAATGTTCTTCAGAGTCCAATTGGCTTTTTTCTATCCTTCCATTCATTCCTTCACCTCTGACTGTTCTGACTGACTTTCCCATTGACAAGTTTTCAACTTGCCCTTTTGGTTTAACTTCTATTTCTGAATCAACCCTGCCCATCAAATTATCCCCAATGCTCCACCCCTTCAACTCATTTCTCTCACTTGTGAAGCTTCGTTTCAATTCCTTATCAAAGGAAGCTCCTTTATCAAATGAATTACTAGACCTTGGTGGTTTCATGGATATTGATTTCTGAAATGTTGGTGGGGGCGGTGGAGGTGGAGGAGGACAAGACTTGTAAAAGCTCTTCTTCCTCATCAAATCCTCTGCGCTCTTGGCAAGTGATTCTGATGAGAACGAAGGTGAAGGAGAAATGGAACTGGGTTGGGATGAACGTGATTTTTGGGACTTGATAGAACGAGATTCAAGCTTACTGAATTCAGATTCATGATGATCCATTGAAAGTGAGGATCGCCATGGAATTGGAGAAGGAAGCACAAGGTTTTCCTTCACTTCATCTTCAACTTTTGAACAGCCAGAACCTTCTAGTTCTGAACCATCTCTAGCTTTATTTGAATTGCTTGAAGATCTTTTGGAACCTGATTTAGTGGTTGGGCTTGAAACATTAGGGTCAGCAGCAGAAACACGAGATTTCAAACTTCTAACGGGCAAAAGTAAGGGCTTTTCACCAATTCGCGAGCTTGTAGCACTCCGTTCGTCAAAATTAGAGTGGTGCGAAGCTACAACAATTTCGGGTTTGTTTCTATAATACTGAACTTTCCAAGTTTGGAATTGGGTTTCATCAGACTCAGATGAGGAGGTTTCATTCTCATCCTCGAAAAACGATGATAACTGTAGAAATCTAGAAACAACCAAGTTTGCATTATCGAACTTTGAGCTATTCTCTTTCTCTTTCTCTGTTTCATCGTTTCGACGACTAAACAAACCGTAAGAGATAGCAATACCAACGAAAAGAAGGTGCAGGAGCTCCCAGTTTCTGGTGAGTAGAGATTGGTTGATGAATTCAGGAGCTTGTGAAGGAAAGAACGGAAGAATAACAAGGAAGATAGCAACTATGAAAGCTTTGTATAGAAAATGATAATAAAACTGACACGGGTTTTCTTTATTTTTTTCAACCTGTGGCTTTTGTTTTTCCATTTTGGTACTATGGATTGCACCTGCCATTGAAGAAGAGAATGAAGCCAAGAAGGGGAAGCAGACTTAGAAGTTAAGGAAAATCACGACACGAAGCTGAAATAAAGGCCATGGGAAGAAAAGTTGTTTGAAACTCTGAATAAATCTTATCCTCTCTTTTTTCCCCACATTGTTTGTTTGCTTTACTCCTTCAATGAAAATGCCATGAGTAGCCTTGCCTTTATGCCATAGGTGCCTTTTCGCTCTTTACTCCCTCCTGCTGGTCGCTGCGCTAACTCTCAAACTGCTAATGCCTACATAGTACCACTTGGTTGTGTAAAAATTAAGAAAAACTACTCTTATATTGTTATATGTGATAAATTTTTATCTTACATATCTTTTGATAATTTTGTCACCATTTTTTTTTTCTTTTCATTTTATTTTTAAAGTGGTGGAATCCATAAATTTATCTCTATGACATGAGATAACTTATCTTTTTTAACATGAGATTAATAAAATCAAAAAATTAAAGGAAAATCATTTTCTACGTTAGAAGAATTATCTCGTATATCAAAAATAATATAGCACAAGCAGTTAGCAGGACACAGGTTAGAGGACAGCGAAAAAATAGGGATAACATCCATCTTTATTTTATGTATAGGAATTTGGCTTCTCTCACGTGAAATTAGAGAAATATAATCTAAAATTAAAATAATGCAATATGTTTTCATGTTATATGAGATAATTTTATCTCATAAAACATACAAAAAGTCATTGGTACCCACATTTTTTTCTCCCTCTCTTCTTTTTAGTGAATTCCACTCGGTGTATTACATAAGATAAATTATTTCATATAACATAAAAAATATATTCCCCATTTTTTTAATTAGTTCAAAATCGATTATAAATCATAAACTAATTTCAAAGGGTTATATTTCTCTCATTTTACATGAGAGAAGCCAAATTTTTATACACATAAAATAGAAGTGGATCTCACCTCTATTTTTTTTTTCTCTCCTATTGTCTGTGAGTTCTGTTTGTGATATTGTCTCTTCTATATGATATAATTCTTTTCATGTAGCATGAGAAAATAATTTTCCAAATTTAAAATATAAACCGATTTGGGAAATATAAAATCAACTCGGTTCCGTTCGATTTAGTTCAAGAAAAAATTGATTTTGGTGGAAGCATGCACACCCTCAAATCTCACATTCAGGTCACGTAAACTAAACCAGTTGCAGCTTGCTAGTGTCACCCAAGCTGAGTAGCATGCGAGTAGCAGTTGTTGTTGTAAGATGTATACGTACGTGTCTCATGTATAAAGTTACTATTTATTTATCTCATTTATAAGGGCATAAGTTGTTTGTAAGTTTTAGCTAATAAAAACTAAAAAGAGAAGAAGATTGCATAGCATTATCTATCTCCGCATTTGTACAACATGGAATGGATCGGTGGGTTGAAGAACTTGCATCATGCTCTCTCTAGATATCGCTTTAAATAACTGTGTGTATAGAATCAAGTTCAATGTAAACATAATAAATGTGTTTATTATATTCCATATAATATAAAACTATTAGTCGACTTTTATTTAAAAATTTAAATTTTTGGATCAAAATAATTCTTGGGGTTTATTAGTATCAAGTAACAGGAAAACAAAATTTATTCCTGTACAATCATTCAAAAGCGAAACCCACCAAATGAGAAAAAGAAAAAGAAAAAAAGAAAAGAAAAGAAAAAGAAAAGAGGTAGTAGCCCATTTATCGATATGAGGGCAAGATACAATGTGATTTTAGTGTTACATGACATAAATAAAATCCATAATTCTTTACATATATTGAATAACTTGCGATCAAGTGATTACTTTTGATGCTTATCATCCTATTCTATTAATAAATAATTAAATATTATGGTCTTTATCAAATACGAGAAAAACTCATACTAGTAATTTCTCGTAAATCTTGTATAAAAAAAAAAAACTCATAAACCCACCTTTATATATTAAATATGTGTTCACTACCTTGAGACTAATTAAATCCCAATTTATTTTATCTAAAAAATAACACATGTCAATTTTCTCCTCTTTTAAAATTTAAATTTAAATTCTATTGAATTAATTATATAATTTTTTTCATAATTTAAATTTTATATTTTATTTTTAAAATTTCAAATTATAATTAAATTAATTATATTTTTTAAATAACTTTTTAAATTTCTAATTTGATTAAATATAAAATGGGGAGGGATCCATTTACCATCAATTAATTTTACCACTTCTTACCACCAAATCTTAACCGTTAATTTTCGTCAATTTGACGGATCTAATTTATTAAGAATTAATAAAAAGTGATAAACTTAATTGATGGTAACTATATCCTGCTCCGTATAAAAATACTTACTTATATAATGCATTAAAAATTTACTATTTCTATTAATCCAAGAGCTTGGCGGTAATCTTGGATGCAGAGAAAAAGGACATCTTAGGTAATTGAAAAAAAAGAAAAGAAAAGAAAAGAAAGTAAGGTGTGAATGGCAAGCGTTGGATGTAGTGATGACTGATGATTCCCCCTTTTGGAGTGTTTACGCTAGCTTGCTTTTTATTCGGAGGCAAGTCGTTCGCAGCTGTGGAGGGAATGCTATTCTTATTTATCTACGTCGTTTTTGTACACTTGGAATCCTATTTTTGGCTGTTGTTAGATTCTCTTAAAGGTTACGCAGTGTAACAATTAATGTGGATGTAAGAGATTGTTACGAAAACGATTGTCTATATTAGAAAGGGGATGGAATAAGTTGATCTCAACTAGCGATTTGTCTAATATCATATGTACACAATTGGTGGACAGAAATTCTCCTCAACTAGGCATGTGATGATTGTTGAGTATTAAAGTTCTTAGTTCAGTTTTAATTTTCAACCTTAGATAATGATTTAGCATTTGGAGCTTATTCCATTATATAATGCACGTAGAATTGTCTAACATTTTCTCAAAGCTGCCATAATTTGCCATTACCATTTTAAACAGAGATAGAGATATAAATTTTGAACGAAATTATGTGTCATAAACGTGCTTCATTGATATTGTGCTACGTGGTTGTTATCACAAATTTGGAGAAAATATTTACCTCAGTAACTCGTTGGATGAAATTGTTAAAAACTGTTGTTTACTAACTAGGGTAAATTTTTAAGATAGGTTTTTGTTATGAATTTACACATATGGAAATCGTTAGGATGGTATTATTGGATCTAGGCTTAAAGATATTGGCCTCACCAACAATTCACTCAATATCTGCCTTGCCTTTCGTAAAAGTATCATTCCACGAAATCAAACCCATAATCTCAGCTCTAATAAGTGTTGGATCAAGCACACTTACTATTAAGTCAAAAGCTATAGCGATTAGTCAAGACCTAATTCTTAATACTTATCCCTACTAACCCAAATGTCATAGATCGATTTGACTCTCTGACTCCGATCCACACCGAACCTTATTAAGACAGAATTATTAATAGGATATCCACGATTGTTGTCATTTTCAACTAGCAGTTTTACTCGTCGAAAATCAAAATAGGAAGGTTAATGGTGTTGTATTTTTATCGGGACATAACTTGTGTCAACGACCAATCCTGTTTCCATCATTGCATTGCATTCATTTCTTTTGTACTTTCTGTTCAATAGTTTAGATGAAGGCAATATCATCTCATTCTAAGGCTAAGACATATCATAAGTTTCAGCTATCACTTACATTAATGCTTACACATCCATACTAAGATTAATTATTGGCAATGAGAATTTAATCTATATATTTTTGAAGTGTTTTGATCCTTACTAGTAAAATCAACCCCATGGACAATGTATTACATTTTTGTGTATGATGCAGACAATTATTTTGATACGTCAAATCACACTTTCCCATGATTGATTAGATCTTGTTTCACAATAAGGTATAACGTGATTAGAGTATATTCCTCCTCCGTAAGGCCAATTAAAGCCTTGAATGAGGTAGGTCACCAATAAGACAATAATCCATGGAGTAATGCTGTGTAGCCAATGGTTTTTCCTCCTCCGCTTGAGACACAGCTTGCGCCATTATGTTTAGAGTAACTCTCTGAGTAACACCTGGCTTCCTCAAGAAGCTAGCCTTATTGGTGCTAATTGTTACCAAGAACACTAATGAAGTGGACTATGCCAATTTCATCCAGGGTTCTTAAGCCAATTCAGTCCTTAATGTAAAGTTCTGTGTGCAAAGCAGATTAGAGGATATTGCTGGTAGTGGGAATCGAACCTAAACCTATCAAACTACGTGTTTTGATCTTTTATCAGTTGAACCAATGTCAAGATGTTCTACACTCTTATATGTTGTATGTATCAAGTAATTTGATGCAAATAACTCTTTTGATCAGTCCAAAAACACGTTCTTCAACAATTTATTAGTTACTGTTAAAACAGTCGTGTATAACGTGATGACTTCTTTGAAGACTCCTCTTCGTTAATGCCAATCAATTCACCAAGGAAAGCCTTGACTGATGTAGGCCACCAATATGAGAATGACCCATCGAATAATGCTGAGGCTGATGGTTCTTCCTCCACCGTTTGAGATTGCTCCATCGTGTTGCTTTGAATAGCTCTCTGATTAACTCCTCGCATCCTCCAGAAGCCAGTATTATTGGTGCTATCTTCTGTTGATGCCTGATCCTTCAAGTAAGGCACTACATGTTCCTTCATATCCTTCTCGGAGATTCCTAGATGTTTTCCTGGAACACTAATGAAGTGAACCTTGCCAGCTTCATCCAGGGTTCTTAAGCCAATCCAGTCTTCAATGTAAAGTTCTGTCTGCAAAGCAGAACGGGGGAGTAAGACTATAACAAGAAATATTGCACCTTAATTGACATTTAATGTTCTGTAAAACTGTTCATTGTTTTACAAATTTGTGGCCGAGTTGCTTTGCTTGTTTGGTGTATTATGACTTATAAGCACATGATATCAACTACCAAGGTAATAGTAATATATTTGTATCACACTGATTGGTTTTCCCATATGCCAAGCTCTATAATTTCAACTATGAATTGCTTCGGACGGATCACATCCTTATATATGATTATCATGCTTCTCACAAGATCCTTCAATAAAGGTGATGTTACAACAGTCAACTGCCACATCATACCAGTCACAGTGCAGTTGTTTAAAGCCTATTAACTAACAGCAAATAATGCCAAGAATTTCAGATTATGTGTTTCAGCCGTTTCTGTCTAAAATGGCTATTCAAAGAAAACCTATGGAACCTACGTCTATGAGGTTGAAATGGCAATGGCATTTATAACTCAAATAGGTAATAGAAGCTTAAGGAAGCAACTCCACTGATATCATTTAATAGATGGAATGCAAATGCCAGAGTAAGGCAACTAGTATCACAGGCAAATATCTAGACAATTTGGATTAAGAATAATACCTCTTGCGGTGGTAAAACTGGCTCGAAGAAGCCATCTGGGTAATATCCAAACCAGGAAGTTTCCTTTGGTATTAAAACAGTGTCGTGCTCAAACTGTTAGTGTATCAAATAAGATTACACATAAATAAGTTTTTCTCATGGTCAGCTCGCAATATTCATGATATATCAAAGAAAAATCCTTTTAGAGGACTTACCATGATAAGTACCAATTTTTGCAAGCTACTAAATCTTTCCTTGTAAGTGGAATTTCTCTGATCTGGTATTTCATTGTTAAGCACTGGGAGAAACCTACACTTCTCCAAATAATTAGGTATGGCCTGAAATTAAAATTGATATTGATGTCAAGGTTTTGAGCAAATTTTAAGCAAACGGACAACTAGGATAAATGGACACATACTGTTATATAATTGAATAGTTAAACAGAAGAAAAGAAGCTCTGCAGCTGTCTCCATTGCGGGAAAAGATATTAAAATTGGAATCTAAGGAAAAGAACTACAAAGAAGTGATTTTTCATTACTCTAATCTACACTTGTTAGAGAAATAAGCCATCAGTCATTACTCAATTTCTTTAGAATTATTCAACAAAGAGTAAATACTTACATTCGGTAATTTAAGATATCCACTAGGAGCTAAGTGTTCCTGCAATTTTTTAAATTAAGGTATGTCAGAGACAGTAACGCGTGAACAAAAAATAATGTTTAGTGTCAAGTTAATGAGATAATAAATAAATTCAGAAAAGCAAATATGCTAAGAGAGAGAGGGGGGGGGGGGGGAGGAAACATTGTAAAACTGCAAAAAGAAGATACAAATCAGGCAAAAGAGAAAATAAATAAGGTAGAGATGAATACTTGAATATAACCACTGTAAACCTCTCCCTTGATGAGGGTGTCTGCAATCATGCAAAAGATACCTGACTGTAGAAACGAAATACCATGGAACAACATCAGAACTAGGCAAAAGAAAAATTAGTTATAGATTAAATTCTTCTAATCTGTTCTTTTGTGCACACTGGCTGCATGACCAACAATTTTCAGAAACACAACATCAAAGTAAAGGTTGCAATATGTCACAAACAACCATAACACATGGCATTACCTAAATAGTGAATCTAAAAGTACTCTGTAGTCTGTATAAGTTGGGAACGAACAAAAATGGAGATGAAGTGAGACTGAAGTAGGGGTTTTAATAATTTTATCCAATAATACTCTACAGGAATATGAAAATTGATAAATAGTTTTACTCTCTTTCATGATATAAGAGATTTTAAGGAAAGAAAATATACTAGGATTTCAGTCCCCCATCGTATCAAATTATGAAATGAAACACACAAATTATAAGATCTTGTTAGGCTGAAAAAAAGGATCAGATTTTAGCTCCCACTTTCTCCTATTTTCTGTCGTCAATTTAGACTGGAAAAAGTTAACTAAGCTATGATGAATGTTTCACTGTCAGGTACCCTGAGACGACTAAGGTCTACTTTAGGGAAAAGAAGGGGGTGGACTACGTTATTAAAGTCCCACGTAGGCAAGGTGGGAAGTGTGATCTCATGTAACGACCTGCTATACACATGGCAGTAGTGAAGTGTTTGAAGCAAGTGAAGGATTAGGCTATAAGAAAGAGGGAGAGAAAACAAAAAACAGAGGAAAGAAGTGAGTTGGTAAAGGAGAGAGAACCAGGCCTCTAGAATTGCCTGGATTACTTTTATTTTCCTTTCTTGTTCGAGAGTTTTGCACTTATCCTTCTTGTATAGAGTCATCTCTGCTACTGATATTTTCCGATATCAGTGGCTTAAGTTCAGTAAATAATACAGAAACTCATAGCATTTGATTCCAGTTCTACCATTCACATTAAAATTCTTTATATCTGTTTGGACCTTCTTATGAAATAATTGAAGTTGTGACTGATTCAATTAAAGTATGGCATGGTGCCAGCACCAAATAAAATGATAATGTAGCAAGCTGTACTTCCAAAATGATACCACAAGACACCGAAATTAGAAAGGCATCGTGCTGGAAAACCATAGTGATACTCACACCACATAAGGGAACTGAAGCAGTACCAGCATGAGGGCCCGCTAATGAGATGAAGTTTTTAACCTGTTCCAAAAATAATAAGGAAGAAAATCTCATGATTAAATTGACAAGATTTAGAGAGACAAAACACAGAGAGAAGAATAACAATACAAAAATTGAAAAAGAGAAAAAGGAATATGAAGATGCAAGAAAGATAAGCAGAACAAGAAGAAACTAAATTAATATATCTTCAAAGCACAGGAATAAAATTTCCATTTCTTTCACCGATACAAGAATTCGGTTACAACAAAAATAAAAATAAAAATGAGAAACATAATGAGAGGTGGCCGGAGGGAGTTGTATGGGGATACCTCCTTCGTTCCAATGAAGAAAAAAAAGAATTCGGTTCTTAGCACCATAATGAGAAACAATGAAAGATGCAACCACTTAGTCGAAAACAAAAAAGCTAAGCTATACCCCACAATTCGAAAACAAAATACATAAGATAGGTTGAAACAAAGATAATAATAATTTAGGATTTGGTTTCTCTAAATCAAGGAGTTCACTTTAGAGGGAAATATAAGGACTCTAAATCATTGATGAGAAAGTTAGGGGTTGATTTTATGGTAAAATACATGCACATGAGTAGCAAACTATGAATTTGTTGGAATCCGCTCCCTTAATTTTCTTAACATTGGTTGCTTTTCCCTCTGAAATGTACCACTCACTAAAGAGGAGCCAAATCCAATAATTTCAGTTATTACCTCTCAATTATAGAGAAGACTTCCAGTTAAAATTTCATGAAAACCATTATTCTCTAGCATATTTCCCTTATTAGGCTATGTATATGTATAACTAACAATGAAATATGTAGAAACATAGATAAAGCAATGATTTAAAATATTAAAAAAAGAAATGAACTTATAAAATTATATATTCTTACTGGAGGTCCTCCTTCACAAAATTCCACAACACCTCGACCGATTAAATTTCCCTGTAATTCAAGAATGAAGCACAAAATATAAAAAGTTATAAAAAGAAGCACATGTAGATGAATTAATTGCTCAAGTAGCAACTTAACAATCCTTGCAATGAACAAACTTAAAAAAGAAAGGAATAAAAAAATTGGAGATAGGTCATCTGCCCCAATGGTATATCATCCCTCTTTTCAGTAAAATAAGTAACTAAATGATATGAAATGCATAATAAACTATCACAACTTGCTGGAAAACATGTTCAAGAAATTATAAGCGAAAAGGGAAAAGTGAAAATACCATCTTCACCACTTGGCCTATGCAAACCTAAACAAATGGCAATAAACAGCATCTTTTCATAAAGCTTCAGTCTAAAAGAACAGACACAATTATATCAAGGCTGTAACTATACAAGGGCTTGAAGCATTGCAGCCACTAAAAGGAAGAAGAGGAATACTGATAGCTTGGTAATCACCAGAAGAAGAGCATTAATGAAGCTGAATGGTGACTAAGATGACGTATATAATTTACTGGATGAGTTTGAAATTTAAAAAAGCTTAAGAACCATTATTCAACATCAACTTTTACCACAAATGAACATTGTTCTGTCAATATAACTCCCCTATTTGTTGACGCTATCGGAGATATATGTAAACCCCTTGCAAAGGTCAAATGCTTTCTAATAGAGCAAATAAAAACACCCATTGACACTCGAAAGAACAAATAAATACAATTTACATGATCAGAGAAACAAAAGGAAAAATAAAGAAAATCCCAATTCTCATGTTTTACCTGGGAGAGCCCAACAATGTTGTATCCTTCCTTCAATTCTTTCATTTTCTTCACCTGTACATGGTAAGAAATGGAGAAGCAAGATTAAATTCAAAAGCCTAGTAAGAAATGTTACCACCATGGCATACAGCATGAGTCTTTGTATCACCTTTTCGCAAACAATCTCAGTCTGCAGAGATGTAAAACAAAACAAGTTACAAATAGTCAATAATGGCAACATCTTCAACATAGAAAATCCTTCTGACATATTACCTGCTCGTTCAAAGGTAGAAACCATGAATCCCATAATCCATTGCCTACCTCACTGGAGAAACAGGGAAACTTCATTAGTCGTGAAAAACAAATTACAGTCTCTATATCCTGAGTTTAAAATGTTAACAAAAGCTAGAGAAAATACTAGAAACGAATGTGGCATAAAACAAACAAAATTCCTTCATATATGGTAACGAAATTAATGTAAAAGTTATGCAAGCTTACACGCAATATCCTTTAGCACCAGAGAAGCTGCTCAATTCCTGGGTGAATTTTTTCACTCCACGGTTAGAACACTGATCCCCAATTCCTGCCATCAAGAATCATTGTAACACAACAAGTATAATGCTATACTAAAGAGTATGGCGAACCAAAAATAGAATCCAAGTATAACCAGGCAATTCAAAGGTCTAAAATATAAGTGCATGGTAATTATAGATTGCACCTCCATAAAAAATTGGAAGCAGATGTGGCAGAAATGAATCAGGTTACTCAAATATTGTAAAGAACCAATACAACCCAAAAACTTAAGCTCTTGGTGTTGGGTGAGGCTACATTAACACGCCACCTCACATAAGAGTCAACTAGACTTGAAGGGTGGACGATGCTCAGGCGGCCCACCCACCTGTGTGAAGAAATAAATTCTACTAGAAAAAGAGTGGGGCAGTGAGGATCGAATCTGGTACACCGAGTCTCTAATACCAGCAATTCAACTCAAAAGTTAAGCTGTTGGCTGAGTCTAGGTTAATGAATTTATATATATCAACAAATATGTTGAGAGTTAAAAGCGATCAACAATAAATTATAAATAGACTGGAACAAGACAGTGATATGAACAAGCAAGAGCAAGACAAATTCCTCAATCCCAACAAACACGGACGCAGCAGCAGTAGTCATAACAAAACATGAAATGAAAACCTTCTAAAAACATAATTGGGTTCACTGATATAAAAATAATAATAAAATTACCGTGAAGGACAATGAAGGGTATTGAGTGTGAGATAGGGAAGACGAAGAAGATGAAGACGAAGAAAAAGAAAGAGGATAACGAAGGAAGAGCCATCAATCAATTTGGCGATAGTTTCTATAAGGTTAAGGAGAGAGTGTTTTATAGACTATAGTACTCCGAAGACAAGTCACAAGGCTCAGGTAACTGTTGGAGAAACTGCTAACTTGTTTGGTTGCTATTGGTATTTGGTAGCACGCAAGACAAAGAAAGACAAGAGGAGCTTTGAGAAATAAATTACTTGTTTGAAAAAAGTTCAAGTCGTCAAAGAATAATGTGAAATTAAAATTTTATATTACAAAGTTGTGATTTGTATCTACTCTAGGTATTAAATAAAGAAAGTAACCATCAACCACCTGCATCAATTGTTAAGGGATTGTTATAGTTTAATTTGTGATGTCTAGTTCGAATAAGTGCAATTATATTAAAACTTGATGGGGAGATATGATCTTTCTTATTCGAATTGAATCAGTCCAATAATCGATAAACTAAAAAAGAAAAAAAAAAAAAAGGGAGTATTATTAAAATTTATGAATATATATGAACTAAGATACACAAAGTTTTCACGTGATAAGAGAATTCATTCTCTAGTGTGTCATGGAGGTAGTTTCAGTATGTTTGGGTGATGTTTTTTTTTTTTTAAGAGAAGTTGATTTAAAAAATAATAATTAAAATAGTATTTTTTTTTTTTTTTAGAAGTCAGGATTCCTTGCTTATAAAAAAAATGGAAGTTAAAAGTTAAATCTTTTTTTTAAAAAAATTCAATTTTATCTCAATCTCATTTTAACCACTATCCCACTACTATCACTATCATCACATATCCAGTAATTTTTTATATAAAAAATCTTTATTAATTTTAACATTTAAATAACTTTTTTATTTGAATATACTTTTTATGTAATTCATCTAAATATAAAATAACTTTAACTTTAAAAAAAGTCATAAAAAGTTATTTTTGAAAAAACTCATCCATCATGCCTTAGTGTGAATGAATATGGATGAATGAATCTAGGCGCTACCATTATTTGTTTCGTATGGGTTTCCTTCCTTTTTGTCAGTGTGGTTGGGCAGACGCAATACCAACAATGAGCATTGGCCCATGTTCGGCCCAACTCCAAATTCCTATCCTCTCCTTCCTCGTCTCAATCCCAGTTCCATTTAGCAAATATGTTAAAATTACACAAATAATGTTAAGAGAAATTACACAAATAAAGCAGAAAAATATTTCTGCAGTTAATGCAGATAAGTTATTTGTATTTACTCCCAAAGGACGTCGTTTTGGAATTGAAATATTAAAAAATTATAATTATAAATACTATAATAATTTTGAAATAAATTAAAATTACAAAAATATCATGATTTTCGTCCCAAAACGACGTTGTATTGGGCTTACTGCAGATAATTGCATAAAAAGCGAACCCCATATATATATATGCTTTAATATTTCTACAGTGAATATAGATAAGTTATCTACATTCGCTCCCAAATCGACGTCGTTCTGGGTTGAAAAATTAAAAAGTTACAATGAAACAGACTATCATAATCCTGAAATAAATTATAATTACAAAAATATCTTGATTTTTGCCTCAAAACGACATTGTTTTGGGCTCAATATAGATAAGTTATCTACGTTGACGGTAGAAAAATCGAACTCATATAATATATATATATATATATATATATATATATATATATATATGATTGCTTTAAATAGTAATAAATTAAATGTTAGTGTAAATACAGAATTTGATCCTTAAAAGATATTCCTTAAAATTTCTGTCAGCACTCGAGAAAGTTAAATTTATTAGTAAGTTGATGACATTGGGAATCAATTTATATCTTGGGAATTTTCAGACCAAAACACAGAAGTGATATTTTCAGACACTAAGTTTTATGGAGAAGACTATCATTTTAGGTTTATCACTCTTATAACATATTTGATTGTCATTAGATCAATTTAAAATCAATGGTTGAAAAATAAATAAATAACTGTCATTGTTTTCAAATTGATCCAAGAACAACTAAACAAGTTGTAAAAATAATAAATTTAAAATGGTAGTAAGTATAACCATCCAAGTTTTATATGTATTCTTAAATTTTAATACGAAAGTTATAATAGCATGTGAACATATTTTTTCTGTTGTATATTTATAATACATAATTATCTCTAGTTGCTAAGAGTGTGCATGATAATATTTTAAATATATTATTTTGTTTAGTTTAGGGATAAAAGTAATGTTTGATAAAACTAGTTAACTTTTTTTTCTAGAAATTGAACCAATAATCTAGAAATACAAGTAACAAATTTAGACAAATGAGAATTTTTTGTTTTGTTTTGCCATACTATTTAAAAGTATTATCAGGATTAAATATATTTTATTTATTAAATACATGTTATCTCATAATGAAAACAGAAATAAGATGTGTTTTCAAGTACTTTTCATTAGTGTTTTAAAAATCGGCTCGGACCAGCCGGATTGACCCAGGTATCGGGATCCGACGAGTTCATCAGTCCGAGTGGTCATTTGGACCGATTTTACAGTCAACATGGTTTGGAACGGTTGACCCGGCCGAGACTCGGCGATCCGGGTTAGACCAGTTGACTCTCTTTATTTTTTTTTGTAAAGCTTTTTTTTTTTGGCTGAGAACTCTTGAATTAAATCATGCTCATATTTTGTGATAAATATGATTAAAAAGTAAGGTGAAAATAAGAAAGTATTTTAGATTAGTACAATTTGTTTATGTAATTTAGTTACATCTTATAATGATCTCAAGAAGTTAAGTGGAGATAAACACTGATTGTCACATATCAACGGTGGATACTTTATCCTTAGTGTATATTTCATGCCTATTATTTGTTATAATGATTTAGTTTATCTGTGTTATGTCAAGGCATAAAAGGTGCATTTAACTTACATTGCAATTTTAATCAAACGTTAGGATATGGTCTAGAGCTAAAAATCTAGAAGTATATAATATTTGTTATCATTGAGAATCAATTTATTTTTTGAAGCTCATTGTTAAATTTCTTATGTGAATTTTTAATATAAGCAGTACGTTTATATTTTTTTAATATGTGAATAGTAAATTCAATTGAATCTGATTGAACCAATTACCTAGTGAGCCAATATCTCGACCGAGTTAATCATCACTGCTTTTTATTTTGTTTATAAACTTTTCCTAAAAACTGAATTAAAAAAATTATTTCTCTTGAAAAAATAAAATTGTTTCCATGCACACCCTAAATTATGCCATGGACAAACATAGCAAAATCAACAAGGCTCGAAAGACAACTTATTGGATTCACGTAGGAATAATTCTGGCTTCGAAGATTCAAATGCAAAATAACCCTAGCATTTAAAAAAAATACTATTTTTCTTTTCTTTTCTACAAACTCATTCGAATAGGTTACGATTAGTGAATTTTTATAATCTTGTAATACATATTCTTTAGTAAAAATATAAATAGATGAGATTCATATAATATTAACTAAAAAATAATAAAATAAATATAATTAAAAAGAGGGTTTAATGTTTCTCCAGTCAATAAAAAAATTAATTTTAATGAATCTAAAATAATATCATTTTGGTGTTGAGATATAGATATTTTTATAATTCTAATTTATTTCAAAAGTATATTAATCTTTATTATTATAAATTTTTAATCTTTTAATTCTAAAATAATATTGTTTTGAATTTGTTAGAGATAATTTATCTCCATTCAGGAAAATATTAAATTTATAAAAATATTATTTTATTTTATTTTTTAAGTGAATAGGTGACTCACTCACCGTAAAATATAGGCTTTTATATAGGTGGAGGCAATAGTATCGCTATACTCTACCTATATAGCACAATATTAAAAAAAGGGACATTCCTCTCAGTAGAGTCGGCAAAATGGGCTCGGCTCGGCGGGCTAACCCGTCCAATCCGCTAAACGGGACGAGGCGATTGAGTTTTTCAACCTATCTCAAAAACGGGACAGACAGGGTAGACTTATTTTTTGGTGAGTTGATGACGAGGATAGGCGAGTCAAGATGGGTCAGTGTAAAATAGGCTCGAGCTGACGGGTTAACCCGCCAAACGGGGGCGGGCTGCCCACTTTGCCACCCCTAAATCTGAGCATTTCTTTGATGGTGCGGGAGCACGATGTTTCGTGTTAAAATAAAAAAGAAGTGAGATTGACAGAAAAATATAAGGAAAAAAGCCCGGGTTTAAGAATACCTAAAAAAGAAGGAGCATAAAAAAAATGGGTTATGTTTATCTCATTTTACATGAGATAAACATCTCTCCTACACACACAAAAAGGAGTTGGGTCCCACCACTTGTTTTTTCTCTCTCCTCTTACACGTGGGTCCCACTTATACCTTTATTTCTACAACATGAGGTAATTCTTTTCCTACAACATAAGAAAAATATATCCCAAAAAAAATTTATACTCTCGAACCATATTAAAATTTTTCCAACACTCTAGGTGCACGTGCACCGCCGCACCGGTGCAACTTTTTGACAAACGGTGGACATTAAGTAAACAAAAACTCAATAATGGACAAAAAAAAAAATGAATACAAGGCCCTGTTTGATTCTTATTCTCAAAAATAATTTTTAAAATAAAAAAATAAAAAAATCTGTTTGAAAATTATTGTTTTGCAAAATGATTTTCAAAATAATGATCGTTTTTAAGTTTTAAAAACTGAAAAACCAAAACAATCTACGGATGTTCTCTAAAGCAGTTTTATGATTTTTTTTTGTTTTTTTGTTTTTGTAGTGGCATTTTCGTAAATATTAGAATTCATTAATGGCAATTTCATAAATATCAAGACTCAAAAGGTTACTTTACAGTGGCATTTTTGTAATTCTAAAACTTCATTAATGGTATTTTTGTAAATAACAACAACTTCTTTATAACTTTAGTTTAACTACACTAAGTTTTTTTGTTTTTTACTCTCAAAATCAGTTTTAAAATTCATATTTAAAACAGTTTTGAAAGAAAAAAAAAACTTTCAAATGTACTCCAAATAATTATAGAAAAATATTACTCTCATTTTACATCACATAGTTATCTCATATTATCTCATTTCGAAAATCGCATTCATTCTTTTTTTTCTTTTTCTTTTTTGCTTTTTAATGATGGGCTCCACTTAATTTCTTTCTATAGCATGAGAAAATTACTGTCATGTAACATGAGAGTAATATTCCCCGTAATTATAACGTGAATCGGTGCAATTGCGGCATGAACGACATATGGTGAAGCAGCTTACATACAACACATGATCGATCCAATTGAATTATACCCAACACGTTTGAAAAAATTAAAAACAAAACATGACTTTGAGGTGGAGCCGATGCAGGCGTGAATGGCATTTGGTAAAGCCCACACGTGGTCCATACATTTGAATAATATTGCCATTCCGGCCCAAAAGATCGTAGAGCATTATTTAGAAAAGTCCTTTTCAGAAATAATCCTCAGTTCCGGGATCGTTTTTAGGTTTAAACTCTTAATCCTCATACTCATTTGGAGAAGTAATAAATAAATTGAAATGTCTTAAAAATAAAAATAATTTTTTTTTTTTTTTTGAAAATAGTTTAACCAGTTCATTGTTTCGCAACTAATTCGATTTGGGGTGCGTACATGATTAAAACTTTAAACCTCTCTCAAAGATGATACTAAAAAAATTCGAACACTTTTCCCATCCCCACCTGCTTAGCTTCATGCACCAACTGAGCTATCAGCTTTTGACAAAATAAAAATATCTTCAATCGCTTGTTGCATTGCCCAAACAGTACTACCCCCAAGAGAGGGCATTAACAAAAAAAAATCAATTGGACAAAAAATATCTTCTGACGAAGCAACGGCGCTGAAGTTCAAAAATTACCAAAACGGGATTCCGTAGTTCAATGCTTCAATTTACCTGTATTATTTTTTCCTTTTTCTCTTCCTTCCAGTCTCCAGGGTTCAACAACGGAGCAAATTTCGTTTTGTGTTGTTTGTTTGTTTTTAAAGATATTTGTCGACAAATAAATTGTCAAGGGATTCCCGAATATCCCGAATAAAAGTTTTTTCTCAGTTTATACACACACAAACACATATATATCAAGGCCGTTTGGTATAACTATTTTGAGGGAAATAGTGGAAAATGGGGTGGAGATTTTTTTTATCATATTTAACATGAGTGATAGTAAAATTATCACAGGATACTTTTTTTTCATCATTCCCGGTTTTAACTATATATGAGAAAAAATAATCTCATCTTACCTACGGTATTAGTTTTTTCCACCAACTGATAAACACATTTTCATATTTTGCGACAAAAATGCCTTATACAATATATCAACAGATGTGTAAAAATGAATAATTTTGTCATTCTAATTCAGATTCTCATCAATATTTTACAATCAATTGAATATAGCATCAGTAAAATTAACCTCACATTTTCAGAAAAATTTTGGCCTACGAAACACATTTTCGTAACTTACCAAGGAAAAAAATTTCCTCCATATTTCTGGAAATTTTTTTTCCCGGTAAAAAAAAATCTCCTCTATCAAATGCTCCGTTAAAAGTAAAATGAATGGAAAATAGTTAACTAATGATGATACTGATAAAATTTATATTAAACTTAAGAACTTATATTAATATTCTATCACATGTCCTTCAAAATAGTCATACGACAATCTAAAAAATGTAGGTATTATAAAAGAAATCGTAATTTTGTTTCACATGATACACAGATAAAATTTTTAATAAATGTAATTAATTCAAGAGACACGAAATAAAGATAGAGGTGATGAAATACAGGAAAAAGAAAAGAAAAGTAGATCTCCAAAAAAAGAAAATAAAAGTAGTTCATCCGACACCTACAAATGAAACTACTTTTTGGCCGGTCGCAGCCCCCTCTATCATTTCATACCAATTACCATATCGATAATTGAAAGCACTAAATTTGGTAATTTGAAGGTTGCATCTGAAAAAAAATTCTATTTAAAAGTCCTTTCCTGTGAGAAGTACTTGTTTACTTTGCCTCCCTAATATATAACAAGAACTTTTTCTTTTGTGGAATTCAGTAAGAAAAACAAATAAGCATCACACAACTTTTAAAAGTCTATTACTCTGTGCTAGAAATCTGTCTGCAATAACTGCCCTTGTTTCTGATAGGAGTTCCTCGTGGATGCATGAACCTTTATGCTTATTGTAAGTGTTGCCACCACGAAAAGACAGATGCTGAAACCTAGAACTGCACGTGTATTGAAACATTGTTAATAAAATTGGACAAGTGAAGCCCCCACAATCTAAATATTTACGAAAGATAATTACTTTTATAACTTAAAAAAAAAGTGTAATGTCAAAACTACCCATGTGATGTTGAATGTGTCAAATTCCAAATTCCTAACAAGGGGAAAAGCAAGAGAAAGGAAATTGAGTTTAATTTACCTGTATTACGTGCCGTGTGGGAATCTCTTGTCTGGTTTCTTGGTTTGCTTTCTTCGGATTCACGCGAGTCCCATGTTAATCTAAGACCAAGACTATTGTCCGAGAGATAAGGGCTATATTTGAAAGGAATTGCTACGGTTTTGACTACCTTACATGAACCCGGAACAGAGAGTGCAGGATCAACTGTGTAAACATGATAACTTGAAGCACTTAAACATGGAATCTCCATGAAAGGAGGTTTAAGGCTGGTCGAGCAATTGAGGTATGTGTAGTTTGTTAGAACATAAAAATAGTGAAAGGGTGTGAGGGAGAGATTGAGGTTCAAAAAGACATGGTGGACACAATTTTTTGGGTCAAGAAGATCAATCTTTTTGGTGTCATGGGAAATGGACTTCACTATCAAATCCCCATAAGATGGAAAGTGGATAGTGGTGACGTTGTCTTTGCAAAGCAACTCAAAACCATTTATCTGAAAGGGATAATCTCCGAACTTTGTTGCATGGCAACTTGCATATGTCACCTTAATAACAGAGGTTTGGAAGGTGAAGAAAACCCAGAAGAGGATGAGGAAGAAAAATGCAGCCATCAATTGGAAATGTTAGAAGATGCAAGGTCAAATATCACAGGGGAATAGAATATATGAGGCACTCTTTTTCCAAGTTGTTAATTAGCTACAAGGTTGGTGGGGGGAACGAAGACCAAGTACAAGTAAATATTCTAGTCTTTGCGAAGAAGCTTCAGCCGCCTAGAAGTACTTTGCATAAAGAATTAAAAGCGTTTTGGTTTCTTGCAGATTTTATCAAGCTTCACGTCATAAAGCTAAGCGTTTCGGTGGGGGCAAAATAACCAATTTATAAAGGAAAAAGCTAAAATAAACTTGTCAGAAAATTAATGAAGGGTGGGTACATATAGATCCAAGTCTGGTCTGGAACGCGACTTGTGAGCATCTTTTGACTTGCTGGACCTGATTTAAATCTAAATCTAGACGGATTGCGACTCAACTAGACCGATGATGGAAGAAGAAGCAAATGTTTCAACTTCTAATAACGGAGATTGAGGTTTGAGAGGAGTTGAATCGGCATGTAGATGCAAATAATGGGTCTGGACTAGAGCTATGTGATTCACATAGCTCTATTCCAGACGCATTATTTGCAATGTGATGTTAGGTTTGGATAATGAAGGTGGCGGAGAAAACAAAACTCACGAAAAAATACAATAGAAGGAGGAAAATTAAAGGGGTAGGATATCGTAACAACCCAACTAGGTTACTACCAATCAATTTCACCGTTAGATCGATTATGTTTATCCAACAGTTATATTTATTTTCATCTTTATATGGTTATGATCCTCATATTTAATGTAAAAGCATTAAATATGGAAAATCATAACCATATAAAGATAAAAATAAATATAAAGTATTAAATATGGGGAATCATAACCATACAAAGATGGAAATAAATATAACCGTTGGATCAAAATATCGATCTAACAGTAAAATTGATTGGTAGTAATATTGGTAGTAACCCTAATTAGTTGTTATAATATCCTACCCCAAAATTAAATTGGAAAAACTTGAATTTTAAAATAAGAATATTTTTATATTTTTACATCATATTTTAAGGGTGGGCACTTTCCCCCCTTTTCATGTACTTGGATCTGCCTCTGCTTACAAGTCACACCAGCGATTAAACTTAGGAAAAATCTAATATACTATGGGAGATATATTCGACGAATAAAAAGGCGTCATGTTAACTATAATTGTCCTGAAGACATAAAAAAAAATAACATTTATACTTTACACTATACAATAAGGGTAGTACATAGTGTAAACTTGATCTTGCACCCAATTTTTGGTGGTACCAAAGTTGCGCTCCTAAACTTCAGTGCTGACCCATGCAGTTCCTTGTTGATCTAGTCGTTTTCTACTATCCCCACTAAATTTCTATGGCTTATTTGCTTGACTAGGGCCATACACTACTCTTAGGATATGGTTTCACCCTATTATGTTAAAATTTTATATTATTTGATCATGTAATTTTTTTATATTTATATCTTTTTCACATGCATTAAATAAGTGGAATTCAATTATTATTAATGAAGAAAAAAATAAATACAAAAATTTCGCATGATCAGGTTATATAAAATTTTAACATGCGTTCCCAACTTTTAGTATACATAGTGTATTTGATCGAAAATTGGATTGACATCTTGTGGCCAAGTGATTATGAAAAAGAAAAAAAAAATTAATTCCGCCAGAAATAGGTTACCATACATCCTAATCAGCTACGATATTAAGAGCTTGTTTGGTGTGATGTATAAGGCCTGATAGTATAAGCTTATACTATACGTTATGACATTTTAAGTTGTTTGGTGTGACCATCGTATAGTATAAGCTTATACAGCAGGATCCCTTTATACATCAAAATGATGTATAACTTAATCAGGCACAAGAGTGGTGGATTAGGCCTGATAAAGGGTTGCTGTATTAATATTGCTTACAAGTACAATTTTCAAGAACTAATATATCATTTCAATATTTATATATTAAAATAACTTTTTTTAATATATTAATTTTTAAAATATTGGAGAATATTATCTTATACAATACCATACCAAACACTGGATAATATTAAAATTTAATCAGGTCTTATACAATCAGGTCTTATACTATCAGATCTTATACTATCAAGTCTTATACTATGCTATGTACCAAACATGCCCTAATATATGAGTAAAAATTAGTGGAAAAGGTATAGATATTAAAAAAAAAAAAAAAATCATGGAAAGAATGAGGGCATGATCGGTGCGCGTGCGTGTCAACTCTGGATTCTGATTGAGCATATTCTTTATTTTATTATTGCAAAAAAGAAGGAGGAAAAACTGAGGGATATACCCAACAAACCGGTATATTCATGAATATTTCTATTTATATGATCTTTCCTTAATTCATTTATAACCAATTTATGACTTTAATCACTCAAACTTAAATTCCATACATGAAATACATATGCAAATTAAATCTTTCATTCATTTTGTGCAATAATTGTTACATAGAAACTAATATGTTGAGGGTCATGTCCATAATGGAAGGACATGTAAATAGGGGTGTAAATGAGCCAGACGACCTATCAGGGTCTTACAGTGTGGCCTCCCTTAAATCTAGCCTGACTTGTTCTATTTTCTAAATAGAGCAGATTTAGGCTTTTAGAATATTTAAAAATTAGGACATAGGCCACTTTAAAAAATATAATGTAAAAGCCTACAGGCCAGTCTTTTAATTTTTTTTATTATAATATTGTTCATATTCTGATATCATGTTTTGTAACACTAATTTCCAAAATAATAGAATTGAAATTATTTTAACAAATATTAAATATTTATTTAAAATTTAATATTTAATATTAAATTAAATTAGTAATAAAAGTGCAAATTTATATGTATATATACAAAAATAAAATTTTCATGTGATCTTTATGAACATTTTCATATGATTTTTATGAACATTATTTCATATATTGTTAATGAAAATATTATTTCATATGATCTTTGTAAATAAGAAATTTTATCTTTTATATTTTAGTTTGGTTTGAGCTTATAAACTTTAATTTGCAATTTAGTAGGTCTTATAGGCCATGTTAGGCTTTTTAATTTTTAATAATAAATTATGTCAGACCTATAAATCAAATCTCTCATAGGAAATTTTTTAATATGCTCCAGAATCACTTGGATCTTATATTCAAAAATTAACATATGTATTAATTTTCTTTTTCTTTTTTCTATCTCCTCTCTCCTCAACTTTTTCTCTCTTTCTCTCACTTCAGTCCACCCAATTTTTTAAAGTTCTGGACCACAATATCTTCACTCCTTTCATAGACTAATAAGTCACTATAGACTCTAAATGTTTTGTATAAGCTTAGACTGTCAAAGTTAAAGTCTGGTCTAAGCTGAACATTTACACCCCTACCTATAAAGCAGAAGGCGGGAGAAATTGAGACTTGCCTGTTAGAAGAACAAAGAAAGGGGGAAATAAGGACAAATGCAAAATAAACTTCAACATTTCTGTATTCTAATCAAGAGTCTATCTTTACGAAAGTAGCCGGTACAAAAGCAAATTAGAGCATCTACCTTTGCGTGACACATTCGATTGATGCTATATCAAATCACAACTGATAATATTAAATTTCAGAAAAAGTACAAACAGAAGATTTACATGAATTTGTCATTCTGTACGGTATTTCAACATTGTTAGCAGTCACGAGAGGGAGAACAAAAAGTAAGATTGCCAAAAGAATCACATTCAGATTTAACAGTATACCTGAACATTTTTGTTTGTACTTCCAATACCCTCTACAGGACAGCCAGTCCATTTTGACACTTAATAGGACATATACAGCAGATTACCGTCTTTGTTCTACAAAACATGCATTTTGTTTTGAATATTCTAGTTGAGAAATTTGTTACACTCAAATGTAAGATCATAGATATGGTACAAGCCAAGAGAACAAAGAAAGAATTAAAACCAGAAGATAAACCAACAAAAATCATAGGAGCTCCCGCGCCAGTCTAACCGGCTTTTCCTTTAGAAAGGCAACATCATCATTAGGTGCAGTTAAGAGATAGTTGTTGGGCTCGTCCTCTTCATTCTCGATAGAGGCAGAAAGGCCATCAGATTCTGATCCATCTTCATCTGCAATGGCAGAAGTTTATATTCTTCCCCTCCTGATTTTATTAATATCAAGGATGGGGCAGAGACAATGTTCCACTATTCTAAGATCCAATGAATTATGCATCAACAGAATTTATATTTTACAAAACACCACCATGAATAGTGCCGGAGATCCATCATAATATTGCAAGAATTCAAAAGCAAATATTTCAATAATCACCGGAGTGTTTTAAAATGTCAAACATGTGTCAATCTATATTTTTACAAGGGAAGAAAAAAAATCCTGTTTACTTCTGGTTTCATGATGCCGTGTACTTTTTCTATAACTTTTCTCCCAAGTTTTTAAACGTACTTTATATATAGAAAACATAGTAGGTTTATGATATTCTATGTGCTAACTATAATAGATATTTTCTTTCTTAGACAGCCAATAAACTCAATTTGAAAAGAAACATATAAGATTGTGAGTCAATTGGCTAATATGATAGTCTTTGTATCTTACCACCACAGGCAAGACGTTCAGGGACATGTCTAACTGCATCAACCTGGATGTTTTCTGGTAGAAGACAGTTGCAGAAAGAACCTAAAAGGTCACACCAGCGTGATCAGATGACAACAAAACTAGTACTAGCAATCACTAGATTCACAAAATGAAGTCCAACTGTAAGCATGCTTGAAAGCTAGCCCCATCAAACTTTTATTCCGTAGTAATCTGAAATTCATATTCGGTCCAAGCAGGGCTACATCTTTTTAAAACAAAAACTAGAGGCAGAATGGAAGGCAGCATACTAACGTATATTACACATGCGCATTAAGAAATCAAATTACAGTTTATATGCAACAATAATAAGCAAGAAGAAAGGTTCTCACCTACATGAGCCATCCGATTTACCCATGCAGGGATAGGATTTCCCGTTAGTTGTTGGCAAACTTCATCCGTAAAATGGTTGCAGTTCTTGGCAATCAGATGGTAAGTGTCTCCATGATATTTTGCAGAGAGGCGCTCCATGAAAGAACGAAATTCTGAGATAGACATATCAGTGCTGCCCAACAACACAGATCGTCTGAAGATGAAGCCAGGGCAGCTTCTAGGTTCCACCTCAAACACACCACTAGTGGCGTATTCATGTGCTCCAAAGCCATATTCCATACCATGCACTGTTCATGAAAACAATGAGTAATAAGTTAGTGCAGGATGATACTAAAACAGGAAAACCGTACATTCAAGCTCCTTGCCAATAATTTGTTCAAAGGAGATGATTCTATCCAGCTTAGTCTCACTACATACAAAACAGAACCAGTGACAAACTTAAGTCACTACATCCAGAAAGCACTTTATAGTTATAAACAATTGTAATTTGCCTCTAGATAACTGTGATAATAGAACATTGACAGAAAACAAAAAAAGAGGAAGGTACAGGTCACTTAGTCTCGTCCTTTATTAAACTATTACAACTATACATTTGCAAAACCAGCGACAACTATATACATACATGTGTTAACTGTTAAGCGGTTAGCATGCGAACCTGATTGAAGATGGCACATACATCAATACTCGGTCGAATGCTAGCATTTGATTGTCAAAATGTCTATTCTCTATTAGTTACCCCATGAACAAATTAACGCATATTATAAGAATTTCAACAAGAAAAGAGAGAGAAACGAAACCGAGAAAAGAGGGAAAAGTTGTAGCAGAATTAGGAGAGAATACGAGGGCATAGTTACAATAATTCAGTTAGTTATTGAAAGGAGGAGAAAACTAACGGCTGCCTAGTAAATCACCACGAAATCCTAATCACAGAATAATACAAGGCACAATTCGCTCTAATAATGTACTCTTGCTAGTACAATGCATACAGAAACTTTATTCATATACTATAGACTATAACAACCTTGTTTTGAATTTCCATTTTCTTCTGTTCTTTTCAATTATCAAATATTGCACCATAATATCGTTTAGTAATGCTAACGTGTAAATTAATTTAATCCCCTTGTAAGTGGTAACCTTCAACCCAGCTAATTTTCGTGATATCTTGCCATGTCCCACAATAACCAGAGACAAGAAAATATGACTCAAGCAAGTTCAAAATAAAAATAACATTACAGCACACAGACAAACCTTCTATTCCCGAATGAAAGATTCCAAGGCCCAACATGTAGAGATAGTTGTTAATAGGAGTAAGATCATATACATTGAGATATACTGTAAAACAACTATTTTCCTCAATGTTCCGCTCCCTTTCGGTTGTACTCAAGGGAAACCACCGCATTGTGATGGTGGACGTGTGTATTCTCCAATTATGAATCACAGTTCCATCTTATTCGCAACCTGTGAAAAATATCAACAAAACCAAGAGGTTCAAATTTTGAGTAATCATGTTCGTGAAATTCTCTACTGGAAATGAATAGTATAGATTTTGAATTGAGCATATATTATATAGAGCTTGCAATGAAAAAAGGGGGCATTGTATTTACATAGAGGTGGATCGCAGAAAGAAACCCTAGAAAAGAGAATAGAAACTTACGATAAGAGTGGGGTAATAGGGTAGGGATTGAAATCGAACAAGAAATAGGTGTGAAAGTTCAATATGATCAATTCTGAGGTGCCTCGTGTTGTCCCTAAGCTCAAATCAGAGTGGCTATGGCTACGGGTTTGGGTTTGGGTTTTTGGGTCTATCCGCTCTGGCAAAGATTTTTTTCAGTTACTTTTTTAACGACCACAGTGTGGATGTTTGAATCTATAACTGTGAATAAGCTTAGCGAAATTATTCTCTACTAACATGAGAGAGTAACATTAGAGAGTTAGCTTATACTATACTGTAAATACATCGACAAACATATTTTTTATTTATTTATTTTTTATCTTTTAACACATAGTAAAATTCATTATATGTTAAGTTAATGACATGAGAAAAATATCTCTTACAACATAAGATTAGATGCTCCCATAACCTTATTACAATTTACAACATTCTATTTCTCAGACAGGATTAGTCCAACGATTCCTTCGGGTGGGTTTGCTAGAGGATTTATTTTTAAATTCTTGAGAAAGTAAGGGTGGTAATTAAATTTGTTTATATTTGATAGAAGTTTTTTTAAAAAATTTCTGGAATTTTATTTTATGGGTAAAATATAAACCAAAATATCATTCAAGAAACTTTCTAAGAAAAATAGAAAACATAGAATCAAGAAATTTAAGTTAATATTTTCGATAATATTTTGCTCTGTCAAATAATTTTTTAATCTTTATAGAAAATTCATTTTTCCACCATCCCAAGTAAAAAAAAAAAATTCACTATCAAACGTCATCTTATATCATCACTTCATTTTACCGTAACACATGCTATAAGAAATTACATAAATTATTGAGTCCATCATGTATTATACGAGTATTTTAGATTTGAAAATAATAAAAAATAAAAAATAAAGTATGTATAATGAATTGGAAAAATTTCGAAAATTCCCTTTTAAGTTTTCTCTAGAATCACTCATCATTATTTATACTTTTACGTAAAGTTTCTTTATCACTTATCTCATAATTTAAAGTTTTTTTTATCACTTACCCCCTAATTCTCTAACTTGGGGGTTAAAAGATAAAAAAAACTTTAAGTTTGAGGGTAAGTGATTCAAAATTTAGAAAATGAGAAAAGTGATTATGAGAAAACTTATAGTGGATTTTTGAAGTTTTTCCTAATTAATTTAAGTAGAGTTTAAAAAATATGAATTATAAGAATGTATAAAAAAACATATGCATAATTAATTTAAAATATAAAAAAGTAAAATAAAAGCTTAAAATTGACATATATTTGTTAACAACTAATGAATAAAAGATTGAATTACTATTAAAATAATGCATTTTCATTTAATATATAAGAGTACAGTAATTAAAATGAAGGAAAAATTGTTAATATAAAAATAATTCATAAAATTAATTTGGGGGTATAAGTAAGAAATGTTTAGAGAGAAAAAGTTTAACATAACCAAAATTAAAATTAATTTTTTTTATAATATGATATTTTATAGAATTTTTAAAAATAATTAATAATTAATAATTTGAGAATTTTTTACAAGAAATACTGAACAACAATAAAATTACGTAATTTAAAGAAGAAAACAGTGTAATGAAAAATTATCTTACTTTAAAATATGTGACTTCTTTTTTTATTTAACGCAAGTCACTTTAGTAAAAAAAATTTCTTGAGAATATCATTTGTTTAATTTCTTCAGGTCACATAATAGTTTTATGTGTGTTTAGAATTATTCTGACTATATATAAAAAAATTATAACATGCGGTAAGTATTAAGTACAGTAAAATATTTTAACATAATACTAGAAGTTAAGATGCAAATTACGATGTTAATTAAGTACATTATTCACAAGAAGGTGAAAAACACATATATGAGAATCTAACAGAGCCTAACATAGCGAGAGAGATATTCACCGAGTAACAAATTTTGCTTATATAAAAATAAATCAATGATAGTAATAAGGATAAATTCAATATCAAACTTCAACATAGATGATCCTACATTCAAGCTTTAAAGAGGGTATATATAGTTGAATTATGGAGATATGTAAGGGTTTCGATTCATCCCTTATTCGATTCAAACTCAAAATTCACCCCTCAGTATATGTCAGAAACGAAGCATACTCATAATTGGTTGCCAAAAAAGGAAATCCAAGCTATTCATAGCATTCTTCCTCCCCACCCCCTTGATGGATCTGATCACATTAGATGGAACATTCCCGAGCAAAGGGGAATTTCGGTCAAGGGGTTATACAGGCTGTTAGTTGAGCAAGCTGAAGGGAACATAATGAACTCAGAAATTTGGAGTGTCATTTGGGAGTGGAAGGGACCACATAGAATACAATTGTTCACGTGGAAAGTAGCACATGGTAGACCGTTAACAAAAGAAATTTTTATGGTACAACCGTGGTACCATTTTTTCAGTGGGGAACACCAATCAAAAATGGAGAGAGAATGTGAAAGTGACATGAAAAAAAGAAAAAGAAAATCCAAGTGGCGAAATTTGAATGGAAGTCACACATGCGACGGTGGTATCAAAAGTTCGCTCGTTAACAAATAAGAGGCTGAGTCATATACATATGGAGGATCTTCTTTGCGGCTTATGTCACGTGGAAGCAGAGTCATCTCTTCATGCTCTAAGGGAATGCGTATGCTTTCGGAATCTATGGCATAGATTGGAAGCTCAGAAATATTGCCATGATTTTTTTTACTTTTAGATTATCATACCTTGGGATATTACTTTTGCAATAATGATTTGGTTAGCTTGGAAGTGGAGGAATGACAAGAAACATGGTAGTCAATGTCTCCATAACGCATATAATCAACATATTATTGCTTGTCAAACAAATGATATTTGGGCTGTCGCAAAGAGAAAAGCAATTAGTGTGACTTGTTCCAAGAGAAAATTCTTAGACAATAGAGAGCAGGCAGGATTGTGTGGAGAACCTTTTTAAAATAGGCACATAACCTTTTTAAATATTTTCTGGAGTGTTGTTCCCCTCTCCTTGCCGAGCTGTGGGCCATATTCTTAGGCCTTCAATTTACTAAGAATTCTGGTTTTACAAATCTTTTAGTTGAGAGTGACTCCTCTCAAGCTATTAGATTGATTACCTTGTCAGGTAATGAGGCTCGAAACTGCATCTAGTGGTTAGGATTCGAGCACTGGCTGATCTTGATTGAAAACTTTGGAAAGAAAGAGTAACAAGTGTGCAAATTGAATTGTTAAGAATATTCTTGCTTGTCCATTGGTTTCATGAGATTTCCTTTCCGGAACAGCCACTCTTGCTACTGCTGAAGAAGGATATAGATGTGTCCTCTACTCTTCTTAGAAGAGCTGCCCCTGTCTTGTAAAAAAAAAAAAAAAAAAGCTGCTCCTGATTAATTGTTGTTTCTTTTCTTTATTTTTTATCTTCTTAGTATTGTATGATACTTTTTTGTTATTTAATATGGTCAATGATACTTTTAGGTTGAATATTTAAATTTACAAAGATAAAAATATCTTTTCTTTAATTTCTTATAAAAAAATATTTTTGAAAAAATTAATTTATCATGTTGTTTCTATTATTCTTATCTCTTAAAAATTTATGTTTTTGAAAATTAATTGGTTATGCTTTTGAATAATATGTTAAAAAAAAATTATCACTAAAGTTTTTTATGACTTTGAAATTATATATATAACATTTTCTCTCCGGTGTTTTCTAAGTTAAAAAAAACAAAAAAAATTACGATTTTGGATAAAGGAAAAGTGATAGAGAAAGGTTATATTGATAATTTTTTTTAATAAATTTATAAATTATACTATGTCTGACCGATCAGACTTCATTCAATAGTGTCTGATCAGTCAGACATAATATAATTTATAAAAATTTATAAATAAAATTTTTATAAATATAACATCCCCTCAAATAATATGGTGTTCCGCTTGTAATGCATTAGAGGAAAGAAGGTGCGAGCTGATAAAATGATTAAAAAATGAAGCAGCAGAAACGCACACAGGACTGACAGGATCGGAAAGGATCTAGGAATATATTAATGTTTTGCGTCTCATTTTTCTTTTACTTTTTGTTTTCTTTTCTTTTCTTCTTTATTTTGAATATGTAATGACTAATGATAAGTGATATGATATGAAATAAAATAAAGTTCTCCCATATGATTTGGTTACTTGATGATAAAAAAACACTTCCATATTTAGAAATTTTCAATCCAATAAATGAATAGTAAGAATTATTATTTTTCATTCATATTATCCTATATGAAACATGCAAATTTTATTTAATAGTTATATTCTTTATAAATAATTTTTTCCTTCTCTTTCTTCTTGTCACTTTTACTGGTTATTATCTTAAATCGATGCTTGTAGACTTGCTGTCTTTTGATGGTGTTGATAATGTGGATTATACTTTTGATTAAGGGTGTAAATAAATTAGACCGCTTATTAATAATTTACTCATAGTGAACTTAGGAAAAAGCTAGGGTTGGTCACTACCCCCTCGTTAATTTTTAAATTATTTTATTAATATATATAATATATATATATATAGAGATGTAAATGGGCTAGCTGGCCTACAGGGGTCTACGGCCTAGTCTATATTAGATCATGTTTGGCCTATTATAAGTAGTAAAATAGAATAGGCATAGATTTTTAAAAAAACCTATTTAGAAAATAGGTCATAGGCTTTTTTATACATGTCGGGCCTATAAGCGTACAGGCCGGCTTATATCATATTATTTATTTAAAATATAATAAATAAACTTATTATTTAATAATTTTGAATAATAAAATAATATTAATTTAGTTATTCTTTTAATTGTTGAATGTTTAATAGGCTTAAACAGACTAACAGGTCTAGGTCAGGACTTTTATGTTTTAAATATAGGTTAGGTCAGACTTGAAATTTGAAGCCTACACACGCCAATAGGCCAGGTCATACCCAGTGTTTTTTTACATAGGCTTTGCCTATTTAAGTCAAAGTATAGCCTAACCTATTTACACCCCTATATATATATAATATTATAATAATATAATAATAATATTTTCACAATATTTATAGGCTATTAGGGTCAATAATTAGATCCTCTTTCAAATGAAAAGAAAAATTTAAAGAAAATTATATCTCACACCCAACAAGCCATTGTTTATCTCATTTTATGGCTTCTATTTCTCTG